AGTCAGAGCTTTCCTGGACAACCCCATGCATGTCCATGCCTGGCCCTCGCACACCCAGAGTATAGAGCGTTGTGTACAGCAAGTGAGCGAGGCCAGCAGTCACGTGTACAGCCAGGAGAGGAGGGAAGGCTACATCCGAGCTCAGGTGGTCAGCAGGGAGGTGATGAGTAGAAACAGAAGCAAGAAAGACATGTTCTCTATGGTGTGCAGCAACACCGGGTCGTAGTAGTAAAACCGGTTTTTGTATTTGATGATTTTGTTTTCTAAAGGAATATTAAATTTAATAAATGTGTCAAGATCATTCGTTTCACTATTCTGGATCATTTTCATCCTAATAAATTAACCTGATACATTTACTTTACTTTAAATAAACTATTTAGTGGTGTTGGTAAAAGGGTGGGAATACTGAATTTTCATAAGATTTCAAGTTAAAATTTACCTAGCAAAAAATGAAAACTTTTCAAATCTGAAGATATACATGATTCTGCACATAAAACTACATCATTAATACCATGGGCCGATTTTTCAAACTCAATAAAAAAAAATTCGCCTCCGTATGACACACCCTAGTGAGGCAGTATGTCTGGCCTCACACTTTGTTATTCACCTTTACGAGAGGGGTATTCAAGCACATTGCGTATTTGGTTCTGTACATGAGAATTGATATAGTTACTAAGTGCAAAAAAGTGGATACAATCTTAATATGTCGACTATCTTGCCATTAGAGATGAAGTGTTGTGCCATTTCACACACAGTGTGCTTGGACCTGTCCCTAAAAGGTTCTATCTTCACACAGTCGAGGACGTAGTGTTCAAGTGTGTGGCCATATGTATGGCCACACACTTTACATTTAGTTTTGTTTACATCTGCTTGAGGAACATACTGCCAAAGGTACTTATATCCTAACCTTAATCTAGCGGTTACAACATCTTGTAATCTAGTGATCTTGTTACTTGCTCCATATACATGTTTCACTTGATACATCTCATCATGGTAACCTATGGATCGACTAGTGCCTGTTTGCACTTGTCTACTTGCGTCAAACTCATCAAAAAGTTCTTTCCTAATTACAGTTTTAAGGGTTCTTTTTGACAGACCCAAATTGTATTCAACGGTGTCTTTGTTAGACGCGAGTTTGGCGAGGGCATCAACTCTGTCATGTTTTATGAGGCCTATGTGAGAGGGGATCCACAACAGTTTGACCTTGACACCCCGGTCAACAAGGCACGCATATTTGTGTCTGGCTTCAGAGGCAAGAGCGTGACAACCTGAGTCGAGGGTACCAAGGGCAAGTAGTGAGGATAGAGAGTCAGTGATGATGAGACTGTCAGTAACAGTGGTTTCAATGAATTTAATAGCTGTGAGTATGGCAACTAATTCAGTTTATAGAGTGGATGCCCAGTTGTTAATTCTAATTCCTTTCTCAATTATATTACCGTCAGGTTGAGTCACAACAATAGCACTTCCAGCCCTCCCACAGGCGGTGTTTAGAGATCCATCAGTGTAGATGGTCTGTGTGATATTATCATCAGTCTGTAGAGTGTGTATGTGTTCAAGAGCTCTCAATTTGGCAGTGTGTTGGAGATAAATGCTTTGTATAATTAATTTTTTAGGCGGATACGTCGGTATTGTGATATCGAAGGGAACTGTCCGCCAGGGTGGCAGGAAGCGCTGTTGTGTCTCAACTTTGTACAGGTGGTCTAGTCCAAACATCTTCATATGTGTAGCTGTAGTTTGGATCCATTTAAACTCAGTAGTCCCATGGTTCATACATTCTAGCAATTTTAAGGAAACAACGTTATCAGGAACACCACGCAGAAGCCTCAGGGCTATCATGAGGTTGACTTCAATTATTCTATCTTTAACACTGGGTATACCTGGTTCTTTCCTCATATTAAGTACTTTAGTGCTCATGGGACATCCTAGGATAATTCTGAGGGCTTTATTTTGCATTTTCTCGACCTTGTCAACGCCTTTCCCGTCACGAATGACCAGGGCTGGTGCGTGGTAATCTATCAGAGATCTTATATCGCCTAGGTACATTGTTTTAACAATTCTAATATTAGCACCATAGTGCGGGCTGTACCCCGCTACACTTCTAAGAGGTCTCAGTCTGTCAGTACATTGGCGGGTTAGCTGTTGTATGGCAGGTAGGGTACAAGGGACGGAAACACCAAGATATTTAAAAGAAGAAACATAGTCAATAGTGTTGTTACCTATCTTGAACTTGGCGGGGCCGCGTTTGCGGTTACCAGCTTGTTTGTTGAACACCTTAGTTTTCTCAGTGGAGATAATAAGACCGAGGTGTTCACAGGCTGCGTATACATGGTTCAGGGTGGTTTGCATTTCACGATGAGTTTTAGTATGTATAAGAATATCATCAGCATAGCTGATTGAGATATTGCTGGGGTTGTCTGGTATTAAATTTAATAATGCATTCATAAGAACATTGAACAAAGTGGGGCTAAGTACTCCACCTTGAGGGGTACCAAGTTGCATATCTTTAACTTCACTTTTGTAACCCTGAAACAGTGCAGCAGCCCTTCTGTTGGTTAGGTAACCACTTATCCAGTGTAACAGCCTACCTCCTATATCCATTTTGGCTAGTTCGTACAATATCAGTTGCCTATTGGCTCAGTGTGTAAAAAGTCTGGGAGATCTGTGTACTGAAGCTGATCTGAGGGAGCATAGGCGTTTAGCACGTTGAGTGTGGAGTTGCCCAGGTGGATAGTGATCCCATGGTACTGAAGGTTGGTAGTCTTTTTGGATACAAGAGGTACATGCGGGAGTGACTTCTTAACATACATCAAACATGTGTGAGTAGAACTAGGATCATAATACACATAATTGGGCAGACTGGGTGGGGGCTTACCATTAGGTGTGAGACACTCCTGCAGACACACAATATCGATGTCCTCAGTCACAACTTTGTGGTGTAGGTCAGGGTATCGTTTTCTAAGGGATGAGATGTTCCAACTCATCACCTTCACCGCTCTGTATCTTTGCCTGGTATTAACACTGGCCATTATGAAATGTATTTGGAACTTTGTCTGGTATTAACACTGGCCATTATGAAATGTATTTGGAAAGAAGCAAAAGGCACTGTATGATACTGTTCTTTTCTGCGCTGCCTGTCCCTTCGGCAGGCAGTAGGCCAGTTAACCTTTTTGAAACATTTCTGGAGCATGTACGGCTCAACAATTGTTGTATTTCAGTGGCAGACAACAACACACTTTGGTTACACTCGACATCACCACCATTTTCTGTTTGTGCTTGTTCATCTTCACTGACCATGTCCACAGAGGCATCAGTAGAACTGTTACCAGTATCACTATTTTCCTCTGCGTGGACACTAGTTCCTGGTGGGTCTTGAGTTTCCACATCTGGTACTGACATCTGAATGTCTTCAGTTTGACTGTAATTTTTCCGTAGCTGCTGCACTGTGTCTGTGGTGTTTTTTTCCTTTAGTGTATCACAGAGGCTCCTTAACATTTCAGTTTGAGCTGTAAACTGAGCTTTGAGTTCTTTAATTTCATTTTTCAAATCATTGATCTCTTCACGTTGTGCGTGTTCATGGAGTGTGTTGGCAGCTACCTGTTGTGTCGGTACGTCTGTGTTGCCCCATGCTGATCTTGACTGCTGGTGATGATCCTGGAGCTTTGGTGGGGAGGGCGGGCCAGGGGTTGGCCGTAGGGAGTACCCTAGCAGCATTAGTGTTTCTTGAGACCTGCCTGGGTGGCGGGTCTGGGCGCTGAAGGGGTGTAGGAGCTCTAGAACAGTCAGGGTGCCATACAGGAACTCCAACTGTTTTGCAGTTAATACACTTCTGTTGGATGACACCCCCTTGAGCAACTGTATCTCTGCAAACCTGTGTTGCATGTTGCCTTGAGCAGAGACCACACCATGGCTTAGTCGAGGGGCATAACCGGGCCACATGGCCCCAGTGCTGACAGTTGTAACACCTCCGGTTAGGGGGCTGATAAAGAGTTACCTTCAGAGTCCGATAGGCACCACGGACTCGAATGGTCTTGGGTGGGTCTTCCGAGCCAACCCAGTCTGCAATGACTGCATTCTTGCCCCTGAGTCGCTTCGTCCTTCTGATGTAGGGATGAGCTTCTAGTAGTGTAGGGGTCTGGTACTGGTCGAGCCCTATGATTAAGATGGTTTTCTTGCTCGATGGTTGGGATGATTGTTCCATGGTTATTCCCCTTATGCTATTGGTGAGGAGATCCTGTATGACTGCTGGGTCGTTTCTAATCAGAACATGATCTTGTGTACCGACTCTGAACTGAAACTCAGCCTCAGGGTATTTGTCTTCCGCATCGTTCAGCCAGAGATACTTGTCTTCAGGTGATGTACCTTCAGGGAAGTATAATCTTACTCTCATGGGGGGTTGTGGTTGTAGTTGATGGTCTCGAAGTCTTTCTGCCTTTCCGGCCTTCCGCTTGTTCCTGGACTGAACTAGTTGAAAGCCATCCTCTCCGTTGGTGTCAAGGTCAACACCACAGTCGCCTGGCTCACTCAGTGCATCAGGAGAGTTAAAGCGAGTAGCTGGGTCTCCAGTCAACTCAGACATGGTGGAGTTACAGGGCTCGACTTATATGCCTACGTCAGAGGGCCGAGGACTGCTTGGCACTCCTAGGAAGTCAGCGGTGGTTGGGAGGCGTAACCCTCTTAGAGGACAAAGGAGACTGGCATCTACAGCGTATTAGCGGTGTGAGGGGAGGCCATGAGCGGGCCTCCCGCGGAGGGAGTGTGGTGTCGGGGGGACTAAGGTAACAGGAGTATTCTCAGTTTATAAACACTTTTATTACACTACACTTGCTCTTAATAGTATCTCTGTTTTTCTGGTTAGATACAGTATCAAAGTCAATATAATAAGCGATAGGGGTTGGGTGTAAATGGGACTGCCCAGTATGGGCCAATAGACCCGCTGCAGTTTCCTCCATTCTTATCTATCTATCTATCTATCTATCTATCTATCTATGAATTGTGTACAGGTACACTGCGAGGTGAACACTGCTGACGTGGAATGGGCTGAGGGAGGCTGGACCACTATCTCGATGCAGAAGACTTCCTGGATCACCGTAGAACCAACTTATGATAACGGCTACTTCATAGGTGAGTGCACTGTACTAACTACTACTGTATAACATGCATTTATTGTACCGCACACTACTGTACAGCTTATGAAAGCTTAAGTTTTATCCCCAAACCGTGACGTTCTTGGTCAGTGTAAGAATATACTGTAGAATATAGAAAAGCTTGATTATAATACACTGAGAGTTCAAGTTTTAAACCACGTGAATGTCTGTGAAATATGCCATTCACGTGCATAGGTCAGCTATTTCCACAATCCAAGTAAAGTTGGCTGTGGTTTCAATACTGTGTGGCAATGCAAAGTGCCAGCTCACAACACAACACACGACGCCTCACAACACAACACACGACACCTCACAACACAAGGCACTTCAACACGACACACAGCACAACACAACACATGGGACCTCACAACACACGGTACCTCAACACGACACACGACACAACACAGAACCTCACAACACAACATACGGCACCTCAACACGACACACAGCACCTCACAACACAGCAACAAAAACCAAATGTAAAGTGTGTGGTCAAACATATGGCCACACACTCGAATATTATGTCCTTGACTGTGTGAAAAATAAAACCTTTTAGGTAAATGGTCCAAGTACACTGTGTGTGTGAAATGGCAGAAAATGTAAACTCTCATGGCAAGTTAGCTGATATATTAAGATTGTATCAACTTTTTTGCCCTAAATAACTATATGATTTATCATGTATAGAAGAGAACAGACAATGTGCATGAATATCTCTCACTCAAATATGAATAACAAAGTGTGCGGGCAGACATATTCTCTCACACTACTGTACTCACGTATTTTCAAATAAGTCACCTTTTTCATACAGAACAAAACAAAGAAAACCCTACACGTGTTCCTGATCGACACGATCAACTTGCTAACATTCTTGATCTTTGTTTTACCTCTAACCTCTCACACTATTCATACTCAATTTCTGCCCCCTTACGGTCTTGTGATCACAACCTTATTTCTCTTAAATCAAACTGGGCACGGCCACCTCCCCCGCCTCCCTCTAAACGTCATCTATGGCACTATCGGAGGGCAAGCTGGCAATCCTTGCGAGAATTCTTCACCGACTTTTCTTGGGATGAATGTTGCTTTACCACTCGGGACGCCTCGGTATGTGCTGACAGCATTGCTGGGGTTATACAGGGTGGTATGAGTGCATTTATCCCATCTTCTACCAAAACTTTCACTTTACAATCATGGTTTGATAGCTCCTGCTCTCTTGCATGCAGGGAGAGAGATAAGGCATATCAAGCTATGAAACTATCTCTTTCTCCTATTACCCACTCCTCTTTCATTACTTCTAGGAATCGTTGTAGGGCCAAGCGGAATTATATAAAAGGAATGACCGCTGTCCTGACTAATTCTTCCTCTAGAGAATCCTTCTGGTCCTTCACCAAAAACATCTGTAATAACTTCTGCACTCCTTCTTTTCCTCCTCTCTTCCGACCTGATAACTCTATAGCCATCTCTACCCATGACAAAGCCAATCTCTTTACCACCGTATTTTCCTCTAATTCCACCTTAGACGATTCCTACTCTATCCTTCCCACCCCTGAACCTCCTACTGAACCTATGCACTTTCCTATAATCTCCACTCGCAGGGTTGCCGGTGTGTTATCCAGGTTAGATGTGCGTAAGGCGCATGGACCGGATGGAATATCCCATCGTGTTCTGAGAGAGTGTGTTGAAACTCTGGCCCCTGTGTTTGCTCGCCTCTTTCTCCTCTGCCTCAAAACCCAAACTTTTCCTTCTTCTTGGAAGCATGCCTTGGTTCAGCCCATCTCGAAGAAGGGTAACCATTCTAATCCCTCTAACTATCGCCCCATTGCCCTAACTTCATCCCTCTCTAAGATTTTCGAAACTATTTTGAACTCCTATTTTCTCCTTCACCTTGAACGCCTTTCTCTTTTGTCGGATCACCAGTATGGCTTTCGCCAGGCGAGATTTACTGATGATCTGCTCTCCTACTGCACCCATCTTTGTTCATACTCTCTTAGGGAATATGGGGAAACTTTCGTCGTGGCCCTCGACATCTCCAAAGCATTTGACAGGGTATGGCACAAGTTTTTGCTTTCTAAACTTCCCTCTTATGGTTTCTCTCCCCCACTTTGTTCTAATCTCTAGCTTTCTTGAGAACCGATCCATGGCAGTTGTTGTCGAGGGATCGATCTCTCGCTCTTTCTCTACCAATATTGGTGTCCCACAGGATTCTGTTCTTTCACCTAATCTCTTCCTTCTTTTTGTCAATGATTTAATTCACTTTACAACTAATTCTTTCTATTCTTACGCTGATGGTTCTACTCTTCACTCTTCTTCACATATTCCCCTTTCTCCTAATTCTCAAACTAGATCTGTTTCTAGGGCTGATATCATTACATCTGTCAATTCAGATCTGTGCAGCATCTCCGAATGGGGAGGTAGAAACTTGGTTAAATTCAATAGTAATAAAGCTCAGTATTTACCAATTACACTTTCTAAATTAGGACGCTATCATTCTGACAAATTCTAAAATAGATATGCTAGGCCTCATCATTTCCTCTAATATGTCATGGAAGCCACACATCCTCAACATTGCTAAAGCTGCCTCCCGAAAGTTGGGAATGCTGTACAGAAGCCGTAGCTACTTTACTCCCGAGCAGTTGCTTCAAGTATATATGGGATTCATTCGTCCTAACTCTAAGTACTGCTCTCATATCTGGGGTGGCTCTTCTTCTATCCAACTGTTAGATAGGGTGGAATCAAAGGCATTTCGCCTTATTAAGTATCCTCCTTTAGTTGACAATCTTTCTTCCCTTTCGCTTCGCCGCAATGTTGCTTCACTCTCTCTCTCTTTTACAGGTACTTTAACAGGCAATGTTCGATGGATTTGGCATCCTGTGTACCGCCGGCAAGGCCGTGGGCTGGTAATACACGTCTTGCCCGCGGTGCCCACCGTTTCTCTGTGGATGTCGGTCACACTAGAATAACCCGTTATAGTGCGTCCGTCTTTCCTCACACAGCCAAACTGTGGAATGCTCTGCCTTCTTCTGTGTTTCCATACTCATACAATCTGTCTCACTTTAAAAAGCTGGTTTTCCGGCATCTTCGTGGTGTAGATTAATATAACCTTTTTCTTTTCTATTATTAAATTTTTCAATTTTTTCGCCCCCCAGGCCCCGTTGTGGGTCGTTTGACCTGTACCCGGGTAGGCTAATTCCCGTAAAAACAAAACAAAATACTCTGTAACATTCAGTGCCATAATATTCTGGCCTTTACTCTGTAATCCTTTTGCGCTACCGCTCACAAGATTGAGCAAGGGGTGCACAGTAAACTAGCAGCTGTACAGCACACAGCACAACACATCACCACACGAACACAGCACAGAACAGCACAATACACAGCATCTCACAACACGCCACACAGCACCTCACAACACAACACTTGGGACCACACGACACACGTCACCTCATAACACAGCAAACGGTACCTCATCACATAAGAATATAAGAACGTAAGAATGGAGGAAACTGCATCAGGCTTATTGGTTATGCACATTCCTTTTGAATTAATAATGATTGCAATCATGATTACGCATCATGTAATCGTAATCGATAACATTCATTTTACTGTAATCGTAATCTTAAAATTACCATGTAATCGTAATCGATAACACTACAGATGTAATCGCCCCATGTCTGGTGTAAATGGGGCTGCCTAGTATGGGAAATAAACGAACGTACTACAAAAACCCGTTTTACTGTGCTGTTTGTCAACCAGGTACAATAAAATCATATTTTCTGAGAGACGAAAAGGTAGATATAATGCATTATACGTAATGGTGCGGCCATTTAATAGACCAGAAAAAATCTAAATCTTTAACAGATGGATCTAAATTTTCATAAGATTAATATGAAAATAATGAACACAGAAATTGGAGAGGACGTTCAGTTCGTGTGTAGTTTAAACTTACACAGTTAGATTTAATCTCATAAGAAAAAACAAATTCACATTGTAACGTTGCTGACGCGTCACTTAATTGATAAAATGATTAGCCTAAGTCTGCGTGCTAGCATGTTCTGTGGTTGCTTAGACGTAAATCATTAGTTACTAGCATGAATGTTTAGATCTTACCGACTCCATAACTTGTTATTAGTAACTAGAGCAGTGTTTCTTAACTTTATCTAACCTCAGCACCCACTGTAGTCAGGTTTAGACAGTCCAGCACCCCCTACATCTGGTTGCAGAGACCACAGTTGCTAAGGGGCTATAAAAAGTAAATAAAGTACTGTTTGAGAATATATTTTGTTCATTCTCCAAAAATAAAGCATCCTAGTACCCCAGGTTAAGAAACGCTGACCTAGAGTATTACAGACGTAATATGGATGGTGAATGTATGCCGAGTCATTTAAAGGACCGGTTGTAGATGACTGTATTGAAAATCATGAGCTTAATTTTGTAAAAGAAATGAAGTACCGGTATGTACTTACTATAGTAATCGTGAAAGTAATTGTGATTACGATTACATTTTGAATGTAATCGATTACGTTTACTATTACTTCAAAAACTGTAATCGATTGTAATCGATTATGACAACTGATTACGATTACCCAATGTTTAATTTACACCCAACCTCTATCGCTCATAAATCCGTCCAACCTATATTTGAAGTTACTCAGAGTGTTCGAGTTAATGATGAAGTAAGTACCTGACAACACAACACACGGCACCTGACAACACAACACACGGCACCTCACAACACAACACATGACACCTCACAACACAACACACGGCACCTCACAACACAACACACGGCACCACACAACACAACACACAGCACCTCATAACACTACCCATAGAACCTCACAACATCGGCACCTCACGGCACCACAACACAACACACGGCACCTCACAACACAACACACGGCACCTCACAACACAACACACGGCACTCACACAACACACGGCACCTCACAACACAACACACACTGGCATCACACTCACACACAC